AAGCAGGAAGTTCTCAGGGGACAGCAAGTGCCAGGGTCACGTGGCCATGGTCAAAGCCCACTTTTGCCATTCTCCAGCTGTGTGACCTTAGGCAAGTGACTTGCCCTCTCTGAGCCTCAGGTTCCATCTTGGTAAGAATGGCATAATAATAGACTCGTGGGGGGGCGCCTGGGTGGCGCAGTGGGTTAAGCGTCCGACTTCAGCCAGGTCACGATCTCGCGGTCCGTGAGTTCGAGCCCCGCGTCAGGCTCTGGGCTGATGGCTCAGAGCCTGGAGCCTGTTTCCGATTCTGTGTCTCCCTCTCTCTCTGCCCTTCCCCCGTTCATGCTCTGTCTCTCTCTGTCCCAAAAATAAATAAACGTTGAAAAAACAATTAAAAAAAATAATAATAATAGACTCGTGGGGATTGGAGAAGCGACCTGTGGACTCTAATGTGAGCCTGTGGACTCTAATGTGAGGATTCCAGCACAAAATCTGTATTCTGAGACAAGAATTTAACTGCCAGTACGGCAGTGAGGCAGAGTGAGATGAGGGCAGCCAGGAAAGGGGGCTTTATCGAGGAAGTTCCCACTCGGGGCACCTGGGATTCAGTCCCTCTGGGGACCTCGGAGAGACGGCGAGAACAGGCACCCACCAGTCGTTACTCAGGGCCACTGCCAGGGGCATTATTTCTCCAGAATGTTCTGCCGGCTGCAACAGCTGAACCCGGGGGGGGGGGGGGGGGGGGGGGGGGGGGGGGTTTGGAAAGTTGCCTGATGTGGACAATGTAACTGGTGAGTGGGGTTCTCCCTCCTCTCTTCCCAATACTCCCCCACACAGTCACACACACACACACACACACACACGTGTTCTCTGCACGCACACAATCTCACACATACACACAACGCACCCACGCTTGCACGCGTACACACACTCGCGTGCACACATCCACACACCTACGTGCACACATATGCACATATCCAAACATACACGTCCCACGCACAAGCACGCGTGCACACACGCTCGTGCACACACGCTCATACACACTCTGAACTAACGGAGGAGACGAGACGCCTTAGAGTTTGTTGTCCCCGAGCCGTCCAGCAGAGGGAGCCTCCGACACACTCAGGAGAGGAAGGAGACAGCGATCAGTGACCGGCCCGGCCTGGGCGTGTTTGGAGAATCGCTCTGATGCAGCAGGTCCCGGAGACCTACGGGCCCCATGCCTCCCCTCCTCCCTCCCTCATTCAGTCACCACCATCGACCTTAGCGGGAAGTCAATATGCATGAAAAGCATGATGAAAAATCTACACGGCAAAGGAGAACCGAGGTGCCAGAAAGGAGCAGTCAGGTGCCCAAGGCCACCGCTAGGAAAGGGGTACAGCCGGGTTTTAAACCCACATAGGTCGTCTCCCAAGAGCAAGCTTTTTTTGCCGGAGGAGAGTGGCCTCCAACTGGGGATTCTGGCCGACAATCCCAGCACTCGCCACCCGGGGGCACCCCAGGACACACGTCGCCTCCAGCATCCCACCGCCCAGCTTCGACTCATCTCCACGACCCCCAGCCCCACCCCGCTCCACCCACGCCTGCCGCCACCCCCCTTATAGGCAAAGCGAGGCTAGGGACCCAGACCCGCAGGAGAAGCCTCAGGGGTAAGCCACCCCGTTGAGGCCACGACATGAGGACGTGGTCGTGGGGCCTTGGGTGAACCATCTCACTCTGGGGAAGTCCGTTTCCACTTCCATTAAACGAGACAGTTAATAGTACCCCCTGAGAATTAAGTGCCAATATTTGGGAAGGGCACGGAGGAAGCACTCAACTTTAAATGTCATTATTGTTATATCAACTCTGGAGACCCCCGGGGGGTTGGTCTCCCCTCCATGAGCACACGCACACACACAGAGGGGGATCTCACCAGTCTTGGGGCTTTTGAAACACCATCTAAGTGCTGAGGTTTCCCAGATGTATGTATCACCAGCCCAGAACTCCCTCCCGAGTTCAAGACCAGCCTATCCGACTGCCCACTTGACATCTCCAACTCTTCCTGGCCCCAACTGACATGCTGATCTCAGCCCTCACACCCCCCTCCCCCCCGGAGAAAAACCTTACTCTGTTAAGCATTCTCCATCTCGAGGTGGCACGCCTGTCTTTCCAGGTGTTCAGACCCACATCTGGGGGCCTCCCTTTCTCCTGAATCCTTCGTTCAAGGTATTCGCAAATCTGCCGGCACTAACTTCGTAAAGCAGTCGGTCCAAATCAGAATCCAAGCACCTGTCTTCACTCTACAGCCCACAGCTTGCTTGGAGACACTGTCATCTCTCACCTGGACAAATCTGGTCACCCCATCTGATCTCCCTAGTCCCATCCTTGCCTCACACAGTCTCTATTCAACATGGCAGCCAAAGACTATAATAACAAATCTTGTCCCTCCTCTGTCCAGAGCCCTCCATGCCTCCCTATCTCTGTCATAGAAAAAGTCAGTGGACCCCAAGGCCCTGTGGGACCTGCTCCTATCCCCTCCCTGACCTCATTCCCTTCCGTGTTCCTCCTCCAGCCACACTGGTCTCTTCAATGCCCCCTAAACACCTCAGGACCAAGCTTGTTCCTACCTCAGGACCTTTGCACTATACCTTCTCTCTGCCTCAAAAACTCTTCCCCAAAATATCCACATGGCTCCTGCCCTCTCCTACCTAAAGCCTTTGTTGAAATGACCCCTTCTTGGTGAGGGCTTCACTGACCATCTTACAACCTCTCCCCCTGCCCCACCAGCATTACTGAACACCCACAGAAATACACGCACTGACCCAGCTCAATTTTTCCATAGCACTTATCGCTTCTCTCCCACATGGGCCAATGTAGTCACCCCATCTGGTCTCCCTAGTCCCACCCTTGCCTTCCCACACAGCAGCCAAAAGAATACTATAAAGACCAAATGACCGGGGCGCCTGGTGGTGCAGTCGGTTGAGTGTCCAACTTCAGCTCAGGTCACGATCTCGCAGTCCGTGAGTTCGAGCCCCACGTCGGGCTCTGGGCTAATGGCTCAGAGCCTGGAGCCTGCTTCCGATTCTGTGTCTCCCTCTCTCTCTGCCCCTCCCCCGTTCATGCTCTGTCTCTCTCTGTCTCAAAAATAAATAAAACGTTAAAAAAAATTTTAAAAAAAATAATAAAAATTAAAAAATTAAAAAAAAAGACCAAATGACAAATCTGTCGCTCTGCTCAGAACCCTCCCATGGCTCCCCATTTCTGTCACAATAGAAGTAAAAATCCTCCAAGGCCCTGTATGAATTTACTTATTTGCTCATTTATTATTCGTCATGTTAACCTCCCCCCACACCCAACACAGGTCAATTATGTAAGGGCTCAAATACCACCTGGCTTACAGCAGATGCTCAATAAATATTTGATGAGTTAATATGGTTACTGTAGACCTTGTCACTGCCCCATCTTCTTTATCACTTCAGGGACTACACCATCACCTGTTCCCCCAGCCAAAGACTTGGAAATCACCCTTAACTCCTCCCTCACCGCTGCTCCTGTGGCTAGGTAGTCCCCCCTCCTGTCCTGCCTGGACCTCAGTCTCCCTCTTCCCCAGGTTTCCATTCCCCAGTGTCCCCCCCTTCCAAGCCACCATCCTGCCAGCTCATATCTGACCAGATCCTGTCATGCTCCTGCTCACACACCTTCTATAGCTCCCTATTGCCTTCAGCATAAGGCTTGAACTGAGATGTAGCCCGCAGTTCCTGGGCAGTTGGCCCCTGCCCGACTTTCCTCCAGTCTGCACCCCTCCTCCGGATCCAGCCTCTCTGGAGTGGTGCTCCTCAAGCACACCATGTTCTCCCTTACCTGGGGACATCTGCAGATGCTGTCCCTCCCACCTGACATGCTCTTCTCTCCTTGTCACCACTCAACTTGTACCCTCACTTCAGCATCAGAGAAGCTCTCCCTGAGCCACCCCCCTGTTGTGTCACAGAGCAACAAGGGCCTCTCTTTTGGAGCACTTGTCACGGATTGTAAATAAATTTACGTGTGGAATTATTTGTTCAACATCTGTCTCCTGTTCTCCCGATGTCAGGAATTGGGCCCGGCTGTGCTCCGGGCCCAGTGCCAACAAACACTTAATTAATATGTGGTCTGTTGATGAGATAAATGAATGCACAAACTGTCCCCAAAAGCCTGAGTTCATGTCCGAGGACAAATGGCTTCCCAGCCTCCTCGCCCATAGCTTCCCTCAGTTGCCTCCCAGCTGTCCAGGCACCTTCATTTCCTTCCTGGAGCCCAAGGGAAGTGTCTGGCTGAGCTAGGGAGTAGACGGTGGGGGGGTGTCTGCATCCCTCGCTTTTATTCTACAAAAATCAGAACGCTCAGCAAAGGGCCTTTCAGCAAAGGAGGAAGGAAGAGGCTTTCCAGGGAAGGTCTGGATTTACAAAACATCGACAGAAGCACACACCCTGAGCCCTGGGATGCAGCCTGATGCCAGGGGAGTTCGCCCATGTGAGCTGGGGACCTCAAGAAGCTGACGTCCGGGTCCAGGGCTCTTACTTCAGGCTCCAGCTCTCAAGTCCTCAACTTAAAAGCCAGCCGGGATCCACGGGGGACAGGTCCTGAATCCCAGAGGCCTTAGGTGTCAGGTCTAGAGTCCTCAGACGGCTGGGTGGGTGGGGCCTGAAGGCCCGAGTGCTCTGGATCCTGGGGGTGGGTCTGGGCCCGAAGAGATGCGGCTGAGCCTGGTCCCTCAAGCAGGAAAGCAGGCACTCAGGGGACCTGACCTGGACCTCAAGGGGGAGGACCAGACCGTCAGGAGGCGGAGCCTTGCCATGAGGGGCGTGGCCTGCACCTTCATCATACTGCTCAGTGGAGGAGCCTGGTCCTCCAGGAGCCCAACCGGGCTTCCGAGGGGCGTGGTCTCTGCCCTCAGGGCCCTGGGGGCGGGGCCTGATCCCTCGGGGGGCGGGGCCTGGCCCTCTTTGGGCGGGGCTTGCCCCCCCTGCCCCGCCCCGGGATCCACAGGGAAGCTTCGGCGATCAGGCCCGCGGAGGCAGTGGCTCCACGTTGAGCCAGATGCCGTTCTCCGTGCGCAAGATGAGCTCAGGCTTCCGCCGCACCTTGCGCGTTCGGTCCACACTCAGGCGGAAACGCAACAGCGTCAGCGCCACGGCCACGCGCATCTCGGCCATGGCAAAGCTCTGTCCGATGCAGTTTCTAGAGGAAGGGGGACGGGGGAGGGGCTCAGGTGCAGCCGCTGTGTGACCCGGGAAGGGGGGAGTCCCTGGGTAAATGACCGACCTCCCGCTCTGGGTCTCAGTTCCCTCATCTGTAAAACGGGAGCAATGGCATCCTAGAGTCGTTGGGAGCCTATGAGCCCAGAACTCAGGGCCTGCCACACAGTAGGCGCTCAACACCCAGGGATGTTATCACAGAGTCTGATTTGGGGTTTCTTAGTACACTGGAGGCATGAAGGGTGCTGGGTTGGCAGAAAGCACATCTGGGTGGGAGGTGATCTCTGCTCCTGATCGGCACATCCCTGACCTTCGACTCCCATGGGGCTCCTCCTACGCTTGGCTTAAACTGGGGGAGACAGAAGAGTTACCTGGGTCCTGCAGAGAAGGGCACATAGGCCAGTGGGGAGCGCTGCTGTGGGTTGTCCGGGTCAAAGCGATAGGGGTTGTACACCTAGGCAGGAGTGGCCAGGGGGTGGGTGAGTCTGGTTGGCCCATCCATCCCAGCTTGGTCCTGACCCTTCCGCTGGATGGAGAGAACCTCACTACAATCCAGCCACACCCTCCTCTTTTCTGTTGTTCAAGCATGCCAGGCTCACTCCAACCACAGGGACTTTGCACTTCCTGTCTCAACTGCCTGGAACAGGCTTCCCCCTGCTCTTCGCACTTCTCAGGTCTCAACTCAAACACCTCTTCCTCCCCAAGGCCTTTCTTCACCATGTGAGCTAAAGTGCCCCCCACCCCCTCCAGTTTTTATCTCCTTTGTGCATGTATCACAACCATAGTTTTTGCTTATTTTCTTCCCCTGAACTTCACAGTGAGCTCCATGAGGGCCAAAAAACAAAAACAAAAACAAAAACCAGTACATTTCTCGGTCCTCTGTGCCCAGCACAGAGGCTGGCAAACAGTAGGTGTTCAATAAATATTTGTGGACCTAGTGAATCAACAAACAGTGAGTGAATACATGGGGGGAGGGGCACTCAAGCTGTGCATCCAGCCAGGCCACCTGGGTCCCTGGGGAAGAGGGTAGGAAGGCCTCAGTGGCCCAGGACCACCCCTTCTGAGGGGGAAGAAGCTGAGGGAAGAGAGGATTGAGGCAGGCGCTCACCTTGGAGTCAGGCCACACTGTGGGGTTGTGGTGGGTCCCGTAGATGCTGACCAGGCAGATAATTCCTGTGGGGAGGGTGGCATCATTGGGGCCACTGGGGCTGAGGGGAACTTTCCCTGAAGTCCTCCTCCTCCCCTGCTCTTCCTGGAGTCATGCTGTTCCCAAGAGCCATCTACCACCCTTTCCTGCCCATCCTTCTCTGAAAAATTCTGCTGCTGGCCCCCTAAGAGGTCCCCATCACCTGCTTTCTAGCTGCCATGCCGGCCACACAGGGATCTTTGTCACTCACAGATCTAACATTGTTCCTCCTCAGCTCAAAAACCTCCCACGGCTCCCTACTGTCCTGAAGATCAAGTTCAGGTGCCTCAACCTAGCATTCGCAGCCTTTCAATACCTGCACCCTGAAACTCTGCTCCATAAATATGCTCTCTCTTTCACTTTCTACCTTCAAGGCTCACCTCTCATGCTGCCTCTTCCAAGCAGACCCCCACCCTGAATTTCACCCCATATGAAGTCATCACTCCTTACTTTGGACTGTTTCAGCCCCTTTAAAGTTACTTCCTTTAGGCCATTCCTGACCCCATGTGACTAGGAATGTCTGTGCCCTGCTGTGTCTTCCTCAGACTGAGTGGTATTCAAGGCCTGGGACTGGGAACGAGGCCTCTCTAGATCCCCAGCATCACCCAGAGCCAGGCTTAGTCTCCAAGGAATATTTGGCCACTGAATGAAACCATCCCTCCCTTACCTGCACCCTCACAGGGCCCACCCCACCACACCCACTCTTGCTCTTGCACCGGGACTCACCCACCTCTGTCTAGCCCCTACACGTGGGTTCTCCTCCCTCACCCCAGAAGCAACAGCCACACAGAGAGATGGCCCATCCACAGGGAGGGTGCACCTGGGGCAGGTTTGACCATGCTCCCATGGGCACTAGAGCGGCCTGGCAGCTGGCAGCACACAATGGGCACCTTTGGGGATGACGCGCCCATCTGGAAGCTTGATGTCCTCCGTGCAGCGGCGGGAGACCAGGGTCACGGGTGGGAACTGGCGTAGGCTCTCCTTGATGCACATAGTGGTGAAAGGCAGCTGGGTCAGGTCGTCCCTGGGGAACACGGAACGTGGGATGGTCAGTGGCTTGGAGCCAGGGCACAGCAACACCCCTTCCCCCAAACACACACACACACACACACACACACACACACACACACACGCGCGTGCGCGCGCTCAGGAGCAACCATGCAGGAAACCAGTCCAGGATCTCAGACTTGCCCCAGCTTCCGGTGTTTGCATTTATGCCATGCACACATCACTACCCCTCAGCATGCCCCCAAGCAACCCGAGCAGCACCAGCAGGCTTCTGCATGCCCAGCATTAACCCTTTAACTGATGGATTACGTGGCAGCCAGGGGATAGCCGGGAGAGGTGCCAGGACAGGGGGTGGGGGGGGGGGGGGGGGGGGGGGGGGGGGCGCTGGGGCATCAGCAATTCACCAGCTTGTGTGGATCAATTTCAGTATTTAAAAACCTGTCCATTCTCTCCTTCTGCTATTATTAACTTCTTTCCGTTGGACTCCAGGGCCCAAAAGTGGATTAATTATAACCCTTGGTCCATGATCTAGATCGTTTTCTTTCTCTTTCAAAGAAACTTCACGTCACTCCTGTAAAGGGCAAACGGCATGCCTGGCATAAAAGTACCCATAAGGTAAACACCACTGGGAAAACAGAAGAGTTATTAAATTCTGGCGAGACATCATCTCCTGCCCAGTCCTCAGAACCTGAGCCATCTTTTCCCTTCATTAAAAAGGCCGATTAGCAAGGAATTGAAGAATACAATGGCACCCGACTGAGAATGTCTCCCTGAGGTCGAAATCTAAAAGGTTGACGCGGGGGCGCCTGGGTGGCTCAATCAGTTAAGTGTCTGTCTTCAGCTCAGGTCATGATCTCATGGTTCAGTTTGTAAGTTCGAGCCCCGCACTGTCAGCACGGAGCCTGCTTGGGATTCTCCCTCTTCTCTCTCTGCCCCTCCCCCACGTCTGCTCCCCCCCCACCCCAAAATAAATAAACTTTAGAAAATAAATAAAGGTTGACACTAAACAGAAAAGAGCTTTCTCGCTGTTTGATGCTATTTAATGCTGTGTTTTCTTTGAGTCACCCAAAAATCCACTCTACACGGCACATGTCTGAATTATACACCCCTTGCCCTTTGCATGTGATTCTGCAGTGCCTTCTGCTCAGGCGGGTAGAATGTGTGTCCTGCCCCATTCATGGTGGGCTTGGCCGTGTGACTTGCTTTAGTGAAATGGAATGTTCCAGTGCAGGCAGAGGTTTTAGACTGTGGCTCTTCGAGCTTCTGGAATCTGCCTTGAGAGGAACACGCCCCAGGTGGCTGCTGGTTCAAGGAGAATGAGGAGACGTGTGAAACAGACCTGAACCCACACCTCCATTTGGAAGCCACCCCGCTCAACTGAACGGCACCCTGCAATAGCGAGAGCAAGAAATATGTGCAGACCAGAGCAAGAAACAAATACACAAGCTCCAGACTCAACCGGCCCCCCACCATCCCCCTGACCCCAAACGGACCACTCCAGCTCCTCCAGCTCCCGGCCTTGCATGACCTCTCGGATCTCTTCCCGGCACTTCTCCTGGTACTCTGGATACTTGGCCAAGTTGAACAGCACCCATGACAGGCCACTGGATGTTGTGTCATGACCTGTAGGCAGGTGAGGAGCTCACGTGGAGGCTGCCTGAGGACAGCGGAGACACGGTCTTCTGACAACGGGGCCCCCTCCCCGCCTCCCCCCACATCCTCACCTTCAAACATAAAGGTGTCCGCCTCAGCTCGGATGTCCTCATCTGACAGTTCTTTCCCGTCTTCATCCTGGAACGAACAGGAGACGATCCTTAGCCCGCTTCATCCCACCCTCCACCTCCTAGGGCTGAAGTCAAGATACTCTCCCCTCTCTCAAGCCAAGCTGCAGGGGGAAGGATGCCAGGCAGACAGAGGTACGTGGCTTGTCTAAGAAAGATGGAAAGTGGGAGGGAGAGTCAAAGGTGAGGGAAGAAGGGAGTTTGTATCCCTTGAGCAGCTGGTTGCAGCAAGCATCCTGCTGGATGGAGGCCCAACCATGACCTGTGATCAGGTCTCATGACCATCATGTCGTAAATGAGGAAACTGAGGCTCAGAGGGAAGAGTCAGGTGACTAAGGTCCAGCATCCGCTAAGCAGCAGGGCCAGAACTGGAACCCAGAACTGCCTGAATCCTGAATCCAAGTGCTGCTCAGGAATTCCACAGAAGGGGGAGCCGTGGTGGCTCAGTGGTTAAGCATCTGGCTTTGGCTCAGGTCATGCATGATCTCACAGTTCATGAGTTCATGAGTCGCACATCAGGGGAGCTCAAGCCCTGCTTTGGGTGAGCTCAATCCCCTCTTCCGGTGAGCCTGGCTTCTGTCTCTCTCTCTCTCTCTCTCTCTGCCCCTTGTGGGATTCTCTCTCTCTCTCTCTCTCTCTCTCTCTCTGCCCCTCACTCACTTGCTCTCTCTCTCTCTCAAAAACAGGAAGAAAGAAAAGAAATCCCACAGAAGCAATCTCTGCAAGTGTCATATTTTTCCAGTCTTGGGTTTCAACTTTTAAGCATGGTGAGCAAAATCATGTCCCCGCCCCCACCACAACCCTCCAGAATTCATACGGTGAGGTCCTCACCACCCGGGACCTCAGAACGTGACTGTATTTGGAGACAGGGCCTTTCCAGAGGTAATTAAATTATGATGACGTCATTAGGGTGGGCCCTAGCCCAATATGACTGGTGTCTTTAGAAGAAGAGGACATTTATGCAAAGACACAGGCAGAGGGAAGACAACGTGAACACACATGAGAAGGAGGCCATCTACAAGACAGGGAGAGAGGCCTCAGAAGAAACCAACCCCTGTCAGTGCCTTGATCTCAGATCTCTAGCCTCCAGAACTGTGAGAAGGTTAACTTCTGAGGTTTAGCCCACCCAGTCTACAGCACTTCGTTACGACAGCCCCAGCAAAACGAATACACTAAGTCTTACTTGTGTATTAGGGTGCCTGCCTGCCTCCTAGAGCTGTGTTATTCGGGACGTTTGTCCTTTTATGGAGTTGGTGCAATTCACGAGGGGCTGGGGCCCAGCCTCACCTTGGCCAGGAGCAGCACATCGATGAAGTCCAAGGTCTTGCCCTGTTTGCCCTTAAGCCAGGCCTCGGCCCCCTGCTGGTGCAGCGCCCGCCTCCGCTCCTGGATGACCTCCGTGGTGAAGCGGTGCACGGTGTCACAGGCCTGCCGGAAACGCCGCCCGTCTGCCGTGAGGTAGTAGATGAGGTCGATGTGGTGGTGCACGCGGTATTGGCGCTGGACCACGAGTGCGCTCAGCTCGATGATGGCCGAGATGTAATCGCTCATCTTCCTGCCGGGAGAGGAAGGGCCGTGAGCACAAGCTGCTCCCTAGGACCAGTGAGCAACCCCCCCCCTCCCCGCCCCGTATATACACGATATTTTCTCATTTTCCTGTACTCTTCACGCTCTACCATCTGGGGCCTTGCTGACCCCGGAGAGACGCGGCCCCTCCCAGAGCCAGCCAGTTCTGAGAGATTGCCAATGACTCACCCAAGAGTATGCCTTTCATGTGCACACCAAACAGTCCAGAGCCCATACGCTGAAACTTATCAGGCCGAGCCACTATCTCCAGGCCTTAATCACTGGACAACTAGGGACAGCCCCCATCCTCCAGAGCCCTCTGTAATTATTCAAACGAGTGAATCTTAAGCTTGTGTTACCGCCATACTGTTCCTTCCCAAGGAAACCACCAAAAAAGACTGTCATGCTTTCTCCCGACTGACACCGATGCCTCCCTGTGTGGCCCTGAGGGGTGTAGTAGGTCCCCTCCTCTTGGGAACTGTAAGGAACAATCATCTCCTGATCGGGTGGCCTCATCATATCTGAATAAAACCAAAATCCAGGTACACATAGACCCAAAGACAGATTAGGACTTCCAAATAGATGTAGCATCACAAAGACTAAATGGCTATAAGCCACAGAGTGAGAGAACTCATAAATATGATCACAAACTTGTATCTAAAATATATAAAGAACTTTTGGGGCTCCTGGATGGCTCGGTCAGTTGAGAGTCTGAGTCTTGATTTTGGCTCATGTCATGATCCCAGGGTCATGGGATCAAGCCCCACATCAGGCTTTGGACTGAGGGTGTAGCCTGCTTAAGATTCTCTCTCCTTCTCCCCCTGCCCCTCCCCAGGTCACTATCTCTGTCAAAAAATAAAATAAAATATGAATAAATAAATAAATAAATAAATAAATAATATGAAGAACTCTTAAAATGCACTAATAGACAAAGAATCCAATTAAAAAATGGGTAAAACATATGCATAGACATTTCTCCAAAGAAGATAAACAAATGTCCAATAAGCACATGAAAAGATGCTTAACAGCATTAGCCACTACAGAAATGCAAATCAAAACCACAATGAGATACTGTTTCACCCCAACTAGGAATGGCTATAATCAAAAAGACAGATAATAACAAGTGTTGGTAGAGGTGTGGAGAAATTGGAGCCCTCACATACTACTGGTAGGAATATAAAATGCTGCCTCTCTCTCTCTGTCTCTTTCTCTCTCTCTCTCTCTCTCTCTCAAATAAGCATTTAAAAAATTAACAAAAAAGAAAAAAAATGAAATCACTGGGACAGGTGTGCAAGGGGCTGTCCTTGGTCCTGAACTATGCTTGTTGTTTTCACACATGTGTCACAGTCTGTCATTTCCTTGTTTATTTACTTGTGCACGGAAACTGCTTTTCTTCCCATCAACATATAAGTTCCAAAGGAGCAATACTTTGTCTATTTTGTTGACCATTATATTCACAGTGCCTAGTCCAGGAATGGCACATAGTAGGCTGGAATAAATATTTCTGGACTGATTAATTAATCAATTAACTAGTTAATCACTAAAGCCGCTGTCACTTTACCCAACTGAAACATAACCCTACCAAGCCCAGAGTAACAAAGTCAGCAGCTTATCATTGAGAACCTACTATGTGCTACAAACTTGCCATTTATGATGTCTCTTATTCCTTATATCCCCGCTTAGATTATAAATTCCAAGGAACTGGGACTTAGTCTGTTGCTCACCACCATATTCTCAGTAGATAGCATAGTATCTGGCACATAGTAGCTACACAACAAATATCTGATGAATGAATGAATGAATGAACCAGGACAATGGTTATTTTATTCATTCATTCAACAAATATTTACTGAACATCTACTGTGTGCCAGGGCAGTGCAACATCATTTTATTCTTTTTTTTTTAATGTTTATTTATTTTTGAGAGAGAGAGAGAGAGAGAGAGAGAGAGAGAGAATGAGTGGGGGAGGGGCAGACAGAGAGGGAGACACAGAATCCAAAGCAGGCTCCAGGCTCGGAGCTTTCAGCACGGAGCCCAACATGGGGCTTGAACCCATGAACCTGAAGATCATAACCTGAGCCAAAGTCAGACGCTTAACTGACTGAGCCATCCAGCCGCCCCATATCATTTTATTCTTAAAGCATGTCTCAGAGGGTCAAGAATTGTCATCCCTGGAGTGCCTGAGTGGCTCAGTTGGTTAAGTGTCTGACTCTTGGTTTCTGCTCAGGTCATGATCTTGCAGTTTGTGAGTTCAAGCCCCACATCAGGCTCTGCACTGACAGCATGGAGCCTGCTTAGGATTCTCTCTCTCTCTCTCTCTCTCTCTCCCTCTCTCTCTCTCTCTGCCTCTCCCCTGCTTGCTCTCTCTCTTCCCCTCTCTCTCTCTCTCCCTTCCAAAATAAATAAATTAAAAAAAAAAAAAAGAATTGCCATCTTTGTTTTATAAAAAAGGAAACTGAGGCTCATAGCCTGGGGAGACACTTTCCAAAAGCCAAACTATTCCTCATGGAAGGATGAGGGAAACTAGTACTTATTAAGCACCTACTCTATACCCAACCACCAACTTACATTACCTCACTTAATACTCACAAGATGACTATGGGGGTGGGATTGGGATTCCATTTTTTCAGATAAGGACACTGGCCCAGAGAGGTGATGTCAGTTTTCAGAAACACACAGCCTGCCGGTGGCAGAGTACTGACAGCCCGGCGATGCCTGACACCTGAGAGTCTCCTTTCTTCTCCCACCACCTTGCCCTGCAGCAACTGTCTCTATCTTCCCCCAGGAAGGCCACACTCACTCCTGGCAGTTGCTGTTGTGGCTGAAGACACATTTCTGAAGACTGTCCAGGGTCATGAGGCTGATGTGCTCAAACATGTCAAGGGAGACCACTGGGCCCTCCGCCAGGCGCCGCCATTTAGCCTGCGAGAGAGAGACACATGGCGAACCGAAGCAGAGACCGCAGGCTTTGAGCCGGGCTGACAACGGCACCCCAGCTGCCTGCTCGCCTCAAGCCCATTTTGTAGGTAAAGGAAGTGAACCGTCCTGACATCCCATGGCTCACACATGAGTCGGGACCTGGACCAGTCCCACTCCGCGGACACCCTCTTCCCAAGAGACCCCGCGACTCACATGCATGATGTCAGTGCACTGGTTGAAGATCTTCATGTAGGGCTTCAGGATGTCAAAGTGAAAGGCGGGGGTCAGCAGGCGGCGGTGCCGGCTCCACTTCTCACCTTTGCTAAGCAGCAGCCCATCTCCTGGGCGCAGGAGACTGCCCTTAGGAACCTCTCCCATTACTCTGAAACCACAAGAAACCCCACGCCCCACCCCCTCTTCCCTGAAGCCCCAGCCCCAGCTCATCCAGTCCCACACTCACCCAGCCAAGGTTTCAGGAAACCGTAGAAAAGGTCATCCTTGGGGGCAATGGCAGCTGTGGAGAGAGAAGAGGTGATGATAATTCAAAAGAGAGTGCGGACCCTTGACCTCTGCTTCTAACCTCCTTGGGGCTCCTCTCTGAGCTCTGACCTCCACCTCACCTCTCCAGTCCATCTTCCACACCTGCTCCCGAAAGACCCTTATAGGATGCTGATCTGAACATGAGCCTCCCCTACTCAGATACCTCCCATGGCTCCCTATCACCCTTGTAAAAAAAGTTCAAGCTCAGGCTAGCACTGAAGGCCCTGCCCCATCTAGCCTCCCTGTGTCTCTCCTATCTCACCCTTCAACATACACCTCACATACTGGCCCAGGCTGAGCTCTCCATCCAGAATGGCCCTCTTCACCCTAATCACCCCCTCCTTTCTGCCAATCCAGGCCATCTGAATTACGCCTCCTGTGCTCTCAGTCTCCAGTGCAGCCTCCTCCTTGCACTCCGGTCCCAGGAGGTCTTATCAGATGCTAGATCTGACCATGTCCCTTCCCGCTCACAGCCATTAGCCACAGCACCAGCTGTCCAGCCCATTTTCAAAGCCCCGAATGACCTACCCCAGTCCAGACCTCTCTCAAAACATCTCTGTCCTCCATACCCTACATGCTCAATGTTCAAACATCACAGCACTTTCTCATCTTCTTGAAAAAGCCACATTCTCTGTTCTTTCTACCACATGCCTTCTCTGCCTCAAACACTCTTCCTTCATCCTTTGAGTCTCTGCTTGGATGCCACCCCTTGTCCACCCATCCCTCTGGATTGCATCCATCCAGGTACAAGCCCCTGGAGAGGAGGGACCATGTTGATCACTGATATATGGGTGCTAAATAAATTTTCAGTGAATGAACCAGTCAAGGGATGAAAGAATGCAAAAATGGATGGATGGATGGGTGGGTGGATGGACGGTTGGATGGGTGGATGGGTGGGTGGATGGATGGTTGGATGGGTGGGTGGGTGGGTGGATGGGTACGTGGATGAGTGAGTTAACTCCCTTTCTATGGGTTGAACAGATTTGTGACTGAATGGGCAGGGGCCCAGGAAAGAAGTACCTGAAACTCAAGTGATATCACTTTTACCCGAGATGTGACTCAGCCACCTACACACACACTACCTAGGAATTGGCCAATCGTGCACACAGTCATCTGTCCACTCATCCTCCTATTCGGAGGGTTCTGCCACACTCTGTACCCAACCCCTGCTGGGCAGTGCTGGGGACCAGAGGTGGCTCAGCTCCACACCCTGCCTGGAGGAGATCTGGGTGGGGCGAGAAAGAGAAGTAGAGGCATGCCATGCAAATATCAAGAAGGTAGAAAGTGTGCCAGAAGCAAAGGGAGGCACAGAGAAAGGGCTGTTGGAAGTCAAAGCAGGCTTCCTGGAAGAGGCAACACTGGAGACGAAGGTAGAAGTCTATCTAGTCATGCCTTTCCTCTCTGAGATCTGGACTCCGGCCTTAGCCCCTTGAGGGTCTTTCTGATATACAGACCTGTTAAATGGTTGCCCAGCCCAAGCACCATTCCCTAACAGCCCCAATGTAAAACACAAGCTCATTTGCTTTGCACACAGGTGCTCTGAGTCCAGCTTCTGTCTCACTGCCTACTTGTCCCCACACATCATCCTCACTCCAGACACCCCAAGTCACCTGAATTCCCCTGGCACTTTCACACATCTGCACCTTTGCACTGGTAGAACCCTCCACCTGAGACTTCTCATCTGGCAAACCCCTAACACACATCCTTCAAGGCCCAGCATCATTGACATCTCCTCCATGAAGTCTTCCCCAACCCCCGACCCCCACCCCAGCCTAAACCCTTGTTCTCCCATCCTCGGGTCCCTACACCTCTCCAACTTTGAACACTAGATTCCCGGAGAGGCCGTGACCAGGCTGCCTTTCCCCTCAGTGTCCCCTTCAGTAAAAAGCAGATGGTAACGTCTACCCTGGAGGAGGTCCTATAAGAAAAGGCCCCACCTGGTGCTCAGCAGGAAAGTACATATCACTGTGGTTGAGAGCTCGGCCTCTGGGAGGGCCAGATCTGGGTTCAAATCCCAGCCCCACCACTAACTCAGCATGTAAACTTGGGCGTGTCAACCATCCTGGCCCTCCATTTCCTCATCTGCCAGAGGAGAAATAGAACAATTCTGCCTGCCTCGTGGCATCCCTACAAAAGCTCAATGAGCTAACATGTTCCTGGCACACGGCAGGTGCTCATTAAATATTTGTACACATAAATGAATAATTAACCAACTGCTGGCTATTTTTATAACCATGATTATAATTATTGGTCATTGGTGTCACGAACTCAGGAGATGATTATCTGCATCCCCCGTTCGCAGCAAGCCCCCACCAGGGAAAAATAAATGCACAGCCATTGTGGAAAGCTGTTTGGTGGTTCCTTAAAAAGTTAAAGGTAGAATTCCCATATGGCCCTGCATTTCTACTCCTCAGCACCTACCCAAGAGAAATGAAACTATACATCAGCACCGAAACCCGTGCAGGCATGTTCATAGCATCATTCGTAACAGCCTAAAGGTAGGAAGGACCCAAATGCCTGTCGGTGGATGAGCAGATAAACAAATTGTGGTATATCCGTATCCCCATACAATGGACTTCTACTCAGCCTTAAAAAAAGTAGGTCCTGATCATTGCTACAATGTGTGTGAACAACGGAAACACTGTGCTAAGTGAAAGAGGTCAGTGCAAAAGGTCACATTTTGTATCATACCTTTACTGTGATATATCCAGAATAGGCAGAGCCATGGAGATAGAAAATAGAGTGGTACATCCCAGAAGGGGGGGGGGGGACGTAATCACTTAATGGGTACAGGTTGTTTTATGGGGCCATGAGAAAAAACTTGGAACTAGAGAGAGCCTTGGGTTGCACAACATTGTGAACATGCTACATACCTTACACTTTAAAATCGTACATTTTTAAATGGTTAATTGCATGCTACGTGAATTTCATCTCAATAAAAAATAAATGCATAAAGGCAAAAGCTGTAATGATATGCCTATATATCACACTTCATTCTCTATAACGCATTTCCCCCTGCTTTCTCCCATTAATGCTCTCTACCCCAATTGCCCGATATAAGATGGAGAAGGTTCAGGAGGAGCTGTGCGTTTCTCAGGGCCCACGGGCTGTGTGGCTTTAGCCCCAGGCCGTCAAGGTCCCCAGGTGTGGCCCTGAGGAGGCCCCGGTGTGGGGTGGGATCCACAGCTTGGGGCCAGGCCTGTCTGTCCTGACTCACAGCTCCGCCCCCCTCCCCCCACTCCTCCAGTGGGGGGAAGGCCCTGGATATCCTGCCTGTTCTGAGGGAGGGGAGGGGAGGGGAGAGGGAGAGGCCGGGGCATCTACTATGTGCTAAGGCCACGCAGGGGGGCTCCACTCCCTACTCCATCTGGAGTCCCACAACCATGTAAGATGGTCCTCAGGAATCTGCGGTTCTGAGGAGGAGAGGGGAGAAGGAGGAGGCAGAAAGAAAAACAGGACGTGAGAAAAGCAGGAGACGAGAAACCCCCATGAGCACCTACCCACATCACAGTGAGTCTTCACCACCACCCAATTTTACAGATCAGAAACTGAGGCCTGAGAGGCTACATGAATTTCTGGGTCACATGGTGAGGATGGCTCCACCCAGGATTCGAGCCCAGCCCGCCCAAGTCCTGGCCCAGGGCTCTTTGCACAACTTGGAGCAAATCCCTTAGAGAGGTCACCCTTCCCGGGGTCCAGGCTCCCCCTTTGTGCAGTGGGTTGGGCATCCCAGAATGAAACGTGGGGAGGGTACGGCTGGGGGAGGGAAGGATGGCAGGCCCTTCCTCTTTCATGGGTCCGACGTGATAGCCTTGAAGGTGGTCTCTAGACCTCAAAGAGAGATCTCAGCCTCTCTTTGTAGGGGCCCAAGCTGGGGCCGGAGATCCTAAAATTCCTGGTACTTTTTCATTCCTCCCTCCTCTCTCAAATGTCTCTGATGCCCCTGGAGGTGCCCAGTTACGCGCGAGGCCACACCAAAGATCCAGACTCCTAGGGGGAAGACAGAGCTGGAGGCAGACACACTCAGTCAGCCCTAGAGCGTTAGGACGGAGAATGAGAAAGCCCGGAGAAGAAAACCATGATCTGTCTGGAGGGTCAAGGAAGTCTTCCTGGAGGAGGGGTCATTGGATCCGGGTGTTGAAGGTTGAGCAAGGACTTGCCCAGCACACCCAGGAGCCCTACACCTTGGGACTGGTGTGGACTCAGAAGGGAGAAGCAATCTTTCTACGTCTCCTTTTCTACTAGTCAGAGTCAGCCCAGGTGAAAAGAATGGGCTGCAGGCTGGGATAGCCACAGCAGGGAATATCAGAACCCAAATGGTGGAACTGCCATGGCTTAGAATTAAGCAGCAACCACTTAACAAAATCTCAGGCAAACAATTCCCTGATCGAATACGTTTGGCTCTGACTTCTAGGTGGGCATGTTTGCCTCTCAGAGTTCCTAGGACCCCTAGACGTTGTCGCACCTTTTCCCATGCTATCCCCACTATCTGTATTACCATGGCTGCTTTGGTGAACTCCTATTCATCCTTCAAATCCCTACTCCAATGGCCCTTCCCCCAGATAGCCTACAGGCCCAGAAGCCCAGGTGATTTCTGGGAGTTGAGGGTTTATCCATCACCTAAAGGCCCAGCCCACCTACCTGAGGCACCCACTACGGGCTTGATGTAGTCAGGATGCACCAGAACCAACAGTGGCAAAATGGGGCCAATCCACACCAGGATCACATGATGCATGTTGTCCAGCACCTTCTTCTCATCTTGGAGGCCTGTCTCATTTGGAAGATACTGCAAGGGGTAGGAGGGAAGGACAGTGAGGAGGAGCCCAGCCCCAGCGTCCCCTAGCCTTTCCCTCCTTCCACCTCTCCCCTGTCCTTAAAACAAGCCCGGAAGAGCTGTATGATTGCGGGCAGCTGGCTGCACCTCGCTGAACCTCCATTCCCTCACCTGAGGAGTGGGGAAGAATCAACTCTCTGTCTGAGGGCAGCTGAGAACATGTATGAAATAACAAAATGAGAGACCGCCCCCCCCACCCACCCACCCACCCAGCACAGGGCATGACACACAGCCGGTGTTCCAGAAATAAAACCAGTAAGAGTACACCCAATAATAATGATCGGCATTTGTTGAGTACTTGCTACGTTAGTAATAAGATACCACTAGCACTGCTATCTTTAACACATGCGTGTGCTTACAGCGTTAGGCGCGGCGGTGGGCATGGTTCGTACAGTTAATACCTTCAACCTACCCAAGAATTCTGTGAAATACTTGCTACTATTTCCCCATTTCACTTTGCTTGGAAAGGTCAAATGACTTGTCTGAAGTTACAGGTGAGTAAGTGATTGCCCTGGTGTGGGCTTCCCCAGAAGCCTCACCCAGAACGCATGCCCCCGGGAGGAGGCAGGCTGGGCCTACAGGGTCAATGTTGTCCACACTGACCCGGCTAACTTTGGGCACCAGGGCCTGGCCACTGCCTCTAGGACCACCATTAAAGCCAGATGGCTCTTGGAATAAGAGCATTGGACGAAGGGCATGAAAAATGAGTAGGGGTTCATCTAACTGAGAAGGATATTTGGTAGAGGGCACAGTTCCAGCAAAGACCATGGAGGTGGGAAATCAGAGCCTGGCTATAGGAACAGGAAGTCATCCTACAGGACTAGAGGTGAGTAGGACGGGAGTCAGGGCCTAACGGGACTTGAACACTAGCTGAGGAGGTGAGACTTTCTCCGGACAGCAATGGGGAGTCATGGAGGGTGTGTGAGCAGAGGAGGGACATGGTTGGTTTCAAGAATTCTCCTGGGACCAGGACGGGGCGACGGACTGGAGGCAGGAGCCCAAGGAGGAGGCTGGACCATGGTCCAGCAGAAGACAATGAGGCCTGAGGAGGGGTGGGAGGTGAAAGGGAGGGAGGAGATTCGGACACAAACAGGCAAAACTTGGTGAGTGCGGTCCCAGGGGAGTCATTCCTAAAGCCAGATAAAATATTCTTGGAGCTACTGAGTAGAAACGTACCTCCTGCTTCCTTCTTCTGAGACACTCACTCCAAGTAGCATCTAAAATATTTCTAGGGGCGCCTGGGTACCTCAGTCTGACTCTTGATTTCAGCTCAGGTCATGATCTCACGCTTCGTGAGTTCGAGCCCTGCATCGGGCTCCACGCTGACAATGAGGAGCCTGCTTGGGATTCTTTCTCTCTAACTCTCTCTCTGCCCCTCCCCCGCCCCCACTCACATTCTCTCTCTCTCTTTCAAAATAAATAAACGTAAATAAAATAAAATAAAATAAAATAAAATAAAACAAAATAATAAAATAAAATCAATAAAATATTTCTAGAATCACTTGATACTTCCGGTCTCTGCAAGACTGGGGAGTTGAGCACACCCACCACCGCGTGGCAGGTTCAGAGTCAAGCATGCCGCCGACGTCACTTCAGGAATTGTCAAAATAATCTCATGAGGTTATCAGGAACAATCATATGCCCCACACTGCAGATGGGAAAACCAAGGCACAGGGAGGTGACGTAGTTTGCTCAAGGTCGTGTGGCAGGAGAGGGTAGAGACCAGCATCAAGCCCACACTGACGACCACTGCCCTTGAACTGCCTCTCCAAAGTCCACCTCTGCCCTCGGCATGAGGCCTAAGCCAGGAAGGTCTCCACAACTGTCCCTCAGTTTCATGTAGGTCTAGAAGGGGGACCGGGTGAGTGCAGTAGGCAGTTAGGAACTGGAGTCTAAGACCCCAAAAGCCTCAGTGCCCTCAGGAGTCTGGCTTTCTTCTGACCTCTGAAGCCCTTTTAGAAAAGTGCAGGTTTTCTCAGCCAGACACAAGAGGTGGCGAAGGCACAGAGCTAAGAACAGGGACTCTGGAGCCAAACGGCCTGGGCTTGAACCCCAACTCTGCCGCCTACAAGCTGTGTGACCTAGGGCCAGCTACTTAACCTCTCTGTGCCATAGTATTCTTAGAAGCAAAATGGGGACAGTGGTGGGGACTGCCGCCTAGGATTGTCAAGAGGACTGAGGGAGAGGGAACGTGAGCTGGTGCAGCCACGCCGGAAAACAGTCTGGAGGCTCCGCAAAAAAACAAATAGAACTATCCTACGACCCAGCAATCGCACTACCAGGCATTTATCCAAGGGATACGGGTGTGCCGTTTCAAAGGGACACGCGCACCCCCATGTTTATAGCAGCACCATCAACAATCGCCAAAGTATGGGAAGAGCCCAAATGTCCATCAATGGATGAACGGATAAAGAAGATGTGGTATGTATATACAATGGAGTATTACTCGGCAATCAAAAAGAATGAAATCTTGCCATTTGCAACTACGCGGATGGAACAGGAGGGGATTATGCTAAGCAAAATT